TTTCAACTATTCGACATTATCACATATACACTACATGCGCTCTCCACGGGAATGTAATAATACGTCTTAAGTTTGTTTTACCCTTCCGAAACTGCTGAGAAAAACCCAGTGGTGTTGGGTGCGATACACTTAAATCCCATTTCCAACAGCAATCTAGGCCTGGTGCAAATCCCATTTAATGAAAAATAAGCAAATCGAAACTGCGATTTTTAGCCGTTTTATTTTTTACCGCTAGGAGTAAAATACGAGGACCGGATGTATAAAAAGAAAGGTAATCCAACTTTCGCAAGTTCGTGTGCGTTAGATATGGAGTTTATTGGTAACTTTTTTGCACAGCAACAAAATTATATCTTTCTTGTATGTGATAAAACACTCCTACGCGTGCTTTAAATAGTACTTTAAAAACCCTAACACGTGTTATGTGGCATAAAAATGATAAAATTAAATAATTGTTGACAAATGTGGCAACTTCTGTTTAATTTAAGCTTATAATATAGTTTGGCAAAACACATTACTCATTAGTAATTAATTGTTTTTTCTTTTGTTATGTACTGCAGTCTTTAATTTTGCATAAAGGTGGAAAACATGTGATTTCGAGAGGCAAGTTTTAATCGGCTCGTATTTGGTCATTTTTGCTTGGAATCAGTACGAGAAAGGGGTTATTCGAAAGGCTGAAACCCTAATCTTTATTACTATGAAAAGTGAAATCTGTGCATACAATATTGAGCGCACAAGAGCACACAAAATTACCTTTAATATTTATACAATTTATGCATGAGCTATGCCGATTGCATGCAGAACCAGGGGATTGGAGCAAGCCTACAGCGCATCAGAATGAACAAAAATTAAAGCTCATGCCTACTGACAACTGGAGCATTCTAACCAGTGTTTGGTTAATCAACCCATCCTGTTTAATTTTTTGTGCCCGATCAGCCCGAACGCAATTCAAGAGCAAAACATCTAATGAGTAAAGTGATAGAGTATAATAACTTTCTCAGTCAGTTTACGGTGTCTATATATAAGGCCATATAAAAAAAAATAATTGGTTAGCGTCCTTAGCTTTTGCCAAAAAGTGGGCGGGCGGGCGCTTTTTTTTTAATTTTTACTAATTTTTAACGCCTTGGTTTTACTCACTGTTAGGTCCGAAACTGGATTTTCTTGCGCAGTACAGATATTTTTTTATATATTTCAAAATATAATTCATACCGTCATATTCGCACGCAATTTCGCAAATTACTAACACAATTGACTGCAGTCAACAGAAATACTACATATATTAGAGCCCGTTGATCAATAAAAGTCGGGTTTTTTAAAAATAAAAAATAAAAAAAAATCCTGAGCGGGGCCTTTTTTGTGGGCGGGCGGGGACGCTAACCAACTTTTTTTTTATGTGGCCTAAAGCCCATTTTTCAAAAAGAACTTGCAATTCAAAATTTCTTACAATGGTGAGTACAGCAAAATGGATTCAGACAGTATAATAAAGTAGAATGGTGACTGGTGTCATATATACCGGCTCGTAACTCACTCCTGAAATCCATAAATAATCTGAACCAGTTTACTAACACAGCCAGAAATTCGCCACATGATATTACGATGTAGTTTACATTTTGGCACACGATCACGCCATGTGCATGGGGCTACATTTGATGGGTACAACTGTTTAATTGATCATATAATACATAAATTTATAACAAAGTATGAACACAAGTGCAATATTCCGGCGACATTTGCGCTCATGGTCATAAATTCTCGTCGTAGATAAAACTGCCATGGCTTAAAATATATATGCGGGCTTATATGCATGTTAATTGTTAATTGTGACTGTTGGACTGCCCGCTTCTCGGCCTGCCTGTATATGCTTGTTTTCTTCAATATACTGAGTGCATGCGCAAGACACCAATTCCCGTGAAGGATATGTTAAATTGGGAAGAAAGCACATATTAAAAGGAGTATAACAACTTATAAGTAAAATTAGTATTTAGCAAACTAGCTCTTAAAAACGTTTGTCTTTTTGTCAGGAAAAATTGCAAAATATTGCAGCATTTTTACATTACTCATTAGTACAAAATCGTTATCTAAACAACAATATATTCAGTACAACATCTGCATGCAAATTCGGTTGATCATGTGTTACTTATACTCCCTAATGTTTCTAACTATATGAAATCAGTATCCCTTTTATATTTCTATAAACCAAATAAATGGGCGAAATAATTAAAAAAAAACATTTTCAAAGTAAAATCGAAGTGCACGTAGTACTTCTTCATGCTGTCCATGATGTAAGGTTCTTCGACGTAGAGACATAGTTGTAATAAGGTTAAGGGATCTTTAGATTTACGATATTAATTGTGCCATTGGAGAGATAATCTAATTGTCGCGGGTCGTGGGTCAGTATTCGCGGGTCGTGGGTTCAGTAACCAAAGTCGCGGGTTTTGTCGCGGGTTATTAAAAAAAATTAACGAAAGTCGCTGGTGTTTTCGCGGGTATTTTGTCGCGGGTATTTTCTCATTTTTGTGTCAGCGTTCTTTGCCGGGGGGGGGGGGGATATTTGCACGAAACATCGGCTGTTCTATTCAAAATAAGACCTCACTAAACTTTATTTTTTTAGCATATCTAGCTTTACGAAACCGATTTTGACTTAAAAATCACAAAATATTAAACACTCCGTTGATAACTCTGTTGATAACTCTATTAAAAACTCTGCTGATTCTTGCAATATGACAAATGGTCGGGAATCGTGTTTTAATTTTATATCGTTTTGGTCTTTTATAACTGACTATTAAAATAACCGATCAACATTAAACTCAACGGATAAATCAATACAGATATGACAATGTACAGTTTAGGGACGGTCATAAAGTAATTACTAGAAGGGGGTGGAGGATAAATGAAATTTTAAGTACATATTTCCATACCCTCCCAAAAACCTATATGGAAACGTTTTCGTAACCCCCTTCAATGTAAGTGAAAATGCTCATACTCCCCCTTTCAATCATTAACAGGTTCTAATGGTGTGAGCTTACTAGCATTGTCATTGACAATCAGATGTATCAGATTTGTACTCCAAGAGTCTCACGGATACTGAATCCTACTTAGGGAGCATTCATTTTTTAGCTGGGGGGGGGGTGGGCCGGAGGAACTGAAGTCTAATTCCATGCTAAAACTTGGAACCCCCGAGAGAAAAGTTGATAAAAAATTATGACCCCCATTTTTTTTACTGAAATATTTTTTGACCCCTCATCCTAACTATTATTAATCCACACGGTGTCATTTCCGTAGTGTTTCAGGGCTGTAGGAAGCTCTTTATGATTGGGGGGCTGAAAGCGAGGGCCGAAGGCCCGAGGAAATTTTTAAATCTAGAGTCTCTGAAATGCCATTTCCTGGACTTTGGGGAAGATTTTGACAGAATTCTGATGGTCAGAAAATAGCGTTTTAGTATGTCGAAATTTACAATTTGGTAGTACTAAATGGGCGAAGGCATATTGGATAACTAGGATAAGTTGCAGGAAACTGTGGGTAATATCTTCATTCTTTGCAGTTTGTCATGGATACGGCCCATGTACGGCCTTGCGTTTTCATTCATGCTTTCACACAAAAACGGATAAAAACAAGGTCAAGTAAATGTTTTCCTATGGACTGGTGAACAGAGCGTCAAACGAATTTCTAGTTGCTTCTGTGTTAAAGATGACGAGATAGTTGATAGGTTCTAGACCTTTTCACCATTCTTGATCCATATATTTTCAAATTCTATAAAATTATATTGGTGATTTTTTCACTGATTATTTTTATGACCCCCTCCATTTATACCAAAACTATCAAAAGACCCACCCCTTTGAAGCATGTTAAAATTGGCTGACCCACCCCCCCCCAATTCCTCCGGCCCCCCTCCCCAGCTAAAAAATGAATGCTCCCTGAATTCTTTAATCTTTATCTGGAATCGGAAATCGCTTCGTCTTGAAGAATGAACAACGAATATCAATCCAACATTTGTTGCTTGAAAGATGTGATACCGTGATAAAAGTGCAGATTTGAAGATACAAGCTCGTAAATGACACTCTAAGTAGTGTTTTCGATAGCGATTGGAACAAGACTATTACAAAGTTATGCCCGAAGGGGCCGTAGTTATGTTCGGCGAAAGGTATGGCTAGTGTATATTTTTGTTCAGACAATTGCGTAATTTGATAATACACGAACGCGCTTGACTTTCAAAGCTCATAAATCGCTATAATGTTGACATCGACTAAAACTATCGCTATATGAATGAGGACATATTGTTACACTGAATCGAACGTGGCATTTTTGGCTTCATAGCATTGAATGAATCGAAGATATGAAACTTCAGGCCTGTTCTAAACGTCGCATTTACATGTGCCGAATGCATTCAAAACAATAGATAATCAGCTGAAATGCTTCATTATCCATTGGTATTGTTTTGAATGCATTCGGCGCATGTAAAATGGGACGTTTAGAACATTCTTCAAAGCCGTATATTTACACTGCTGCAAATACGTGAGCTTGAGAAATAATTAAAATAAATACATTAAGATGGGCGGGACCATGCATGCGTTCGGTACTTCGGTGGACGGAACTCAGAATGTGTAGTTTTTGGGCAGGCGGTATTTATAGCTTCTGCCGCCTGCTACGCAGGCTACTAAATTGGTGAAATATTCACCAAACGCTATCATGCTTCAATAGTTTTTGCGTTTTTTTAGTTCGGAAGAAGAGCTTTCATTAACAATAGGTAGGGTGAAAATTTCAGATATGATTCAAACCTTGACAAGTATATCCATTAATTACCACTATATGCAACGTTGGATGTGCAAATATAACATCCTTCTAGATCTGTGTTATTACATGTCGCGTTGCCATGACATGGTGAAATGATTTAGAGTTAAAATCCTGAGTATTGTGTTTTTCATAATTAATTGCAATTTTTGCAAAAGTTTATCCTTTGTTGTTGCATTGTATAATTCAACAAGTGTAATTTAATTTAATATAATTTTATTGTACTTTCTCGTTGAGATGAAATAATAATTAATCATTCTTTATCACTGAATTAAGATATTGCAAATCCATGTATACCTTCACAGTGTGTGCTATTCCCCATAAAGCCCATCTTACATGTGCAGTAATAGTTTCCTGGCATGTTTGTGCATGTTGCATTGTCGTGACAATAACCACCAACACAACATTCATCCAAGTCTACAAAAGTAGGTAAATAAATGAGTAATTGGGGGTGGGCTAATCGTCCTTATTTTCGAAGTTCTTGTTATATATTCCAGGCAGTTTCATCCGGTAAGCTCTCTGGTATATGCACGAATGAAGAAATCATTTACTCAGTTTCAGGAGAATTTGCGGATTATTGAAATTTTATTTAATAATAATATTCAACCTTAACTTACCTTCAACAACCGTTAATTCGATCGGTGTGTCGCTCAGATAAAACGTATGTTGCAAAGAGACGGTACTTCTGTCAAATCTATCAATACGACCTCTTGTACTATCCATAACATAGAAATCGTCTTCACCGATTGCAATTTTAACTGAGCTTGTTGTACCAGGGTAGTAATTAACTTGCGAAGTTGAACCATTGAAATGCGTTTGCATAAGAGAATAACTATCATTAGCAAGGATATAGTCAATCCAATAAATCGCTTCATATTTAGAGTCAACAGTCAGATACAACGCAGATCTGTTGTTATGGTAAATAACTTCTTGTGTGCCTTTATCAAGGAAATACCGAACAATATCTCCGTTGTCTGCAGCAGCAAAAACAAGAGAGCTGAAACCAAAAGATAACTGTTATACGCAATGATTCTGTAATTCATATACAGCTAGTACACATTCACCTAGTTTTGTCTTAGGTTAGCTGATAACATTGAGGGGTACAGTAGGGCCTGTCTCATCCGTGGAACAATCGTCGAAATTAATTTAATGTAATAAAACGAATTAAACGTGACAGTAGTGGACATCCGGATCGTATGAAATGAATTAAATTTGTATGAATCCGTCGACTTCGTATCCATATCGTCGTCGTGTCAAACTAAATACATAAACGATGTTAATAGAGGAGTATCTGGTAATGTGGTTTGTATTTCCTAGTAATCCTTGTGTCTTCAAATCGTTTGAAATTAACCTTGTTATTAAGGTGGCTCGATATAGTTATCACAAAAAGCCTGCTCAAGAATCGCGAACTAAACCGGGTGACCATTTTTACGCACAGGTCGCGGAAACTAATTATAAAATGAAATAACTTTCAAAATGACTTGACGTGAGCAGTTGCTCGCGCCATCTCACGTCATTGTTGTGCGTGTTCTATTGCGTTCTATGTCAATTGCTGACGTCATTAGAATTCTCCATTTTAGAAACTAAAACAATGCGCTGTATCTCTCTATTTTGTCTGATGGCCTTGTGTTCGGATTTTGCATGCTATATTGCCCCGCTAAAAACTTCTGCAATGGCAAAAACATTTTACTGAAGAGTACGACATTTCCGCATCTTCTAAAAAAATGTCATTGCATAATTTTTTAATATTTTGCTAATTGCTGGTTTTTCTTACAAGTATAATAATGCACGAAAAAAATTGGAGGTCACCATGCATCCTTCTTTTCCCACTATACAAGCCGGTAGGTCATTTTAGAGTGAATTTTGTACACGTATGTTGTCATAGAAAGAATTTCCGTTACTAAAACTAATATAATTTGAAAGTAGAGATATCAAAATATATAAAAAACCCAAAATCTGCTGAATAAATCCTAAAAATGCGGAGTTTGAACATCTGAAAATGTTGAACACCTGAATTTTTGAAAAGTGTATCGAGGCACCTTAAAGTGGACTAATTAGCAAAATTAATAGAGAATTGAATTCCTCTGAATTACTGTAAATTAGAGAATAATATAAAAATTAAATTAATTCTTAAAGGAATTAATTAATTAATCAGTTTAATTCGATAATTAATTAATAAAGTAAATTAATTGACTTGTCAATTAAATAATTATGTATTTTATTAATTATTAAAATAATTAATTAAATCAAATTAATGAATTAATTATAAGTTAATTAATTAGTTAATTAACTTATAAGTTAATTAATGAATTAATTATAAGTTAATAAGTTAATTAATTAATTAATTAATTAATTAATTAACTTATTAATTAATTAAATTATTCGAATAATTCGGTAATTTTAATTTCTTTTGAATTAAATTCGAAACAGACCCAACAAGTGAAACAATACAAGTTTTGGGAGGCCTTGGTAATCACTATGAAAATCCTGCAATGGCTGTTCTCCTAAAAATTCCTCTAGCAAAAATCAAATTAAAGGAAAAATCCTGCAAAACCTTGGAAAAATTTTTAGCACTATGTCAATGTCTAAAACGACCAACCCAGTGAGAAGCCATCAACACTAAAGCAAATAACATCAAAACTCCTATTCGTATTCGGTATTAGTCCATTTGAGACACCCTTTATCAACTCTCTATGTTTAATTTAATTAATCATGGTGTTATAACATAGTGTAGTTGAGAGATACCACTGTACAAACAATCGCTATGGTCAAAGACTTTGCCTAGAAGCGTGGTATATAAATATGATTCAAAAACTCATTAATAATTCATGAGGAAAACACAAAGAGAAATCATAAGCGTGGCGTGTCTTTATATGTGATAAAACACGCTTCAAATTTCAACTTGTATTTTCTCAGCTAATACAAAGTTATTTTGGAAAATTATTTCGCCAATGCCGTGATCTAACTGAGACGTTTTTGAAGCTGTTCAATAAACTCGTAGTTCGTGTTTTATCATATATAAAACACTCCGCTACGCGTCGTGTTTTATATGTGATAAAACACTCCTACTGGCGTTTTTTAAACAGTACGTAATCCTGCGTTGAATAGGGATGACAGTACCTATTTGCCAGAGGAATACATGCATCTCATTGGCAGGTGACGTCATCCCGTGGGGTATTTGAGAAGCCACGATTGCATCTTTAGATCACCCTTGATGAAGACGCTGGACTGGAGTGTCGAAACGTAGGGTCTTGATTACAATTGGCGACTGCATGGGCTTTGTAATCATTTATTTAAACCAGAGTAGCGAGCGAAATTAAACATGATTGATATACCTGGTTGCAGTGAACGAACAAACTTTAAATATACATACCTGTTAGATGGATCGGTATCCAAGTCTTTAACATCATCACCAATATTTTCAACTACATCACTCTCAGTTCCAGTATTCAGGTCAATGCTTTTAATCTTTTTGAATAGATCACTAATATAATACACCTTCCTTGTTATATAATCTACAGCAAACCGCAATATGGCAGAGACAGCCACTATGGTGGTTGCATCACTACCGTCCAGTTTAAGACTGATTAGATTGCTACCATCGTAGTAGAGCAGTCTTTCGCTCGAATAATCATAATTTAGGTTCACAACACTTGCTGATAATACCGTCACTGTCGAATTTGCATCCGAGAATACTCCTTTAATTGCACTTGACGTTGCATAATATATGGCATCCACTTTGCATGTAAGTTCTGCAAAATATGGCATAGAAAATCAAAGCAATCAATTCATTTCATGTCTAAATTAGCCCAGTTTTTGCGTTCATCATTACTTAAATATTGCTCTAGCGATCTGGATAAAGTTTTAATGCAATCCATTGCCATGCAGTTGGGACTGGTAAAATGTATTTACTATTATTATTATTTATTTTTACCAACTGTGACTTTAGTAATAATTATTGTGTTAACGATCGGCGATAATGATCAGAATGAATAATATAACATTTTCGTGTGCCCATTTTAGGTCATACACTTTTATGATGCATGTCATTATGTATTATGCCCTAGTATCCCAGACCCAGATCTTTGAAACCAATATCAAATGATCATGAAGGAAAACCTCTGCCTATTTGCTGACATTTTCAGACAGATATAGGATTGTTCGATAATGTACGAAGGCAGAAAAGCTATAGTAACTTATTTTAAGTCGGAAAACTAAATGCTCGGATTTTCAGTCACATTTAGATTAATTTTCAGTGACATTTAGATCAAATTTCCCATTCCAGGCCGCCGTACACTGAAATTGACGGCGTTGGGCCTCAAACACTGTTGACGGAGTTACATTCGGAGAGCTATTTGATAACCAATTATTTGATTATTCAATGTATAGTATATACAGAATACAAATATGGAAGCTGAGAATAACAGAAATACATACAGTATGAAAATAGGTATGAAATAAGGTAAAATGTAGAAGTTATTATCAATGTCTGCTGATGTCAGAGAAAGACAGAATAAATATTTTCATCCAATCACAATGCTTGACAGCCCATTTGAATTAGATTCATGCACCCGCATCATGCTTACGAGTTGATTGTTCAGTGTGCGGAAAAGAGCCTATATAAAGCTAAGTATCAGAAATACGCTCGTTAATAACATATGGGGATAAACAGTGCCAACTTTTGAAATGCGAGCATTTAGTGTACGTACATTCTCGAAACATTTACCTTCACAGAACAAGCCATTTCCACTATAATTTGCTTTACAGGCACAGTAGTAGGATCCTTCCACGTTTGTACAAGTAGCATTTACATGACACGGAGCTTCCGTTTCACATTCATTGACATCTATATTAAGTGTAATAAATTATGCCAAAACTCGTTTTGCTTGAAGTTGTCAATCAAATTTCACCTTTTGTAAGGTATATGTTTCCGGCACAGATTATATATATATGATGGGTGCTGTTTCTATGTCTTAGGTTGAAATAAAGACATCTTTATCACGTCACTACTGTCACTGTTTTGCCTTTAAGAAGATTATTGAGCTTCATTTATATAGTTACAAAGGTTACAGGACACCCTTTTTTGCGTTTTGTGGAAAATCGCTACTGCGCGCTCAAAATCAGCCCGATTTTCATCAAATTTTCACCAAATGTTGGCCAGCCAGTGCATGCAAAATATGATAAAATTGTAAAATTGACAAACAATAAATTACTGTAAGAATTGTTCAGGAAAATCTTAAGTCGCGGTACCTTTACGCTATTGAGTTATGTTTTTGCTGCATGGTTTTAAGATATATTTATGAAAATATCATTTTTATTCAGTAAAATAGTTGTTCTAAAAAATAGTGTTCGGAAATTTTTGTTTATTTCGTCATTCCGCTGCTATGAAGATTTCTTCATGGAAACCAATAAAAAAATTTAGGCAAAATTAACGCTCAAAGGTGTTCTGTAACCTTAAAAAACAAAAAAAAAGAAGAAGAAAAAACAAACAAAAAAACCCACAAAAACCCAACTCCGTAAATACTGTTTTATCCCCGAGCCGACGGCGCGAAGCGCCGTGCGAGGGTACTATTGACAGGGGCGGATCTAGGGGTAGTCAGATTAGTCACGCGACTAACGTAAAAAAAGGCATATAAAAAATTTGGACTAAGGTTTTTGAATTTTTTCCCAGCGCAAACACTTCTCTTCATTTCTGATCACGCAATCAAAACTCTATCACACTTCAGCATATAAACTTCGATCAGTTTTTGCACATTGAGCCAGCGATTGATTAGTCAAACGATAAGTCAAATAAGCGGTATTCAAATGAAAATTGACTATTCTGCGTTTTAGTTCATGTGATTTGATTGCTCAAATTTGCTCAGATTACACATTACAGACATGTTGATTGGTCAGACCTATTTTGACTAACGATTGCGAAATTTTGACTATTTTGACTAATTCTGCAAATAGATAACAGCCTCTGATTGGACAATTTGCGCAAAAGAGTTAAAGAACATCTCCTCTGATTGGCCTTCTAATCTTCAATTTGGAAGCATTGTGCACTTGGTAGCTTTATTGCAGTTTTGTACAATTTTACAAGCAATTTATTTACTATTATCGCAATGAACGACGTAGATTTCGAAAAGGTTAGATCGTTATTTGAAAGTGACGATAAGGAATGCTTCCTGGTGTTCTGTGGAGAATATTTCAAGCAGATAAATTCGATGGATGCAACTGAAGTTGTCTTGGCCGAAACTATCTAGCTGAGATGTGTTGATTTCTCGAATTCTCGTCGTCTATTTCAGGAGATTATTAAGAGGTGTATGGCAATAAGGTAAAGTGGTTTGAATTTTGAACAATAAATCGTTGAATTGAACGTACGATTTGCATAATTGTGCGAGGTTAGGTCCAAAGTTTTATATACTGCATACATATTCATTTGTGTATAAATTAATTAAAACACCTCAAGTGGCAGAAATTTGATCTCAAATATTTGATCATGTTGGATAAAAAATATTTATTGTGTACATGCTTTATAGAGTATTGATTGACTGATAATAGCTCTGCAAATGTACTTTATAAAGATAATAATAATATAATCTTTGGTTATATTTTTAGATCTGATGCAACTGGCAATTGCTTGTATATAGCTCTGTTTCCTAAGCTGTCTAAGCATTGACAGGTACCAATGACTTAATTTGACCTTGATAGTTTAAATATTTACAGTGCAAGTGTGAAAGGTCTATTTCGGCACTTATAGGACACTAAAAGGCTATACGCGAACTATGGTTGAAGACTACTTAAATTAAATGACTTGGCTTGGTCATGATGCAAATTCACCAGGAAATTATTCCTAACATATGTACTGTAGGAAACGTTATTGATAAATTTTCTGGAACATGTGGTTAAAGTTAAATATCTCGGCTTGCAAAAAGACCACTCTCGCCTCCAATAGCAATTAATAACCTCACTCTTGTACACAACACTGACATGAGAAAAAACTTCCTGGGGTTTGGGTCTTCATCATCAACCAAACTTAGCCTTTCAAGATCACTACCTTCCCATAATCCACCCCCCCCCCCAAAACCAATCATTCAGGCTTTGTAGACAAAAGCTGATGCCAAATCTCAGGTCTGATCTCATTGGCTTGAGACAGGTCCATAACCTCCATTGCATCTTGAACAAGTTAAATTTTTCAACAGACAAGAGCTTGAAATAACAACTGATCACCAATCAATAATAGGCAAGAAATTGCTTATGATCGGTGGAAAAGCCGGGTTTCCAACCTGAAAAGCAGGGAAAGTCATGACTGCCGATCGCCATGATCGGGAACTTTGGGAACATTATTTTAGGCCCTGACAGACAAACTCCATGTTGATAGTATGTGACTGTCTATACAGTATGTATAAGCATAGTATAGGAATAATAGTATACTGTGTTTTGTAATTGCCAATTTAATATTTCAGATAACTAGATAAGTAAAGTAATAGTCATTTGTAATGAAATATTTTGTATTTGAATCGACTGTGATTAAAATATGTTTAAAATGCCAGGTAAAATAAATTTGTTTTCAATAAAAGTTGGCTTCCACTGAAGCTGAAGCTTTGAGGCACCATTTCACTTGCGATATTATACATTTTCTTAGTGGACAGTATATAACAATATGATGAATTTAATTAGGTTAGACATAGGTTAGTAATAGGAGGACTGGAGAAGGGGCTAAAGGGAAAAACAAGGCAATTTCACATCCACGAAATGTCCCGTATTGTCACCCATTTTTAACCAAGATCCTTTTGCTGCCATGAATGGTGTGATCATGAGGTGGGTTTATGGCACCTTAAAACCAGATTGGTCATTTTAGGGGGTGTTCATTGTTCATTTTATTGTCACCCATTTCTAAGTTCTAGCCAAACTCCTTTTGCTCTTGCAAAAGGTGTGAAGGCAAGCAATCTGGTTTTAAGGAGCCAGAAACCTGTGCTTGTGTTCAGCTTTTTCAAGGAGCTGTCCTTGTTTGATCACGGTTTACTATTTTTGGAAAACGTGTTTCCTAGGCATGCTGATGAGCCAAGGTATATACTGTAGGGCAAAACAGTCTATATATTAATATATCATATGCTGAACATTGGCAGGTACGAAAATTATGTCATTTACGCATTTGTAGTTTGATAAAACAAAATATCTATACTTCCACAAAAATTGGACTATCATCCTGACATCAAATGACATCATGTCAAATTTTATAGCTAGAAACAAAAGAAATCTAATTTGCAATTCCCAGTTTGATGTCATATCCGACAAATTTGAGGCCTGATAATCCTGTGAAGATGGAATATTTTCTTATAAAGATATATTGCATTTCTTCATAAAATATACCAATTATGATTACAAATAATAATTTACACAAATCATGACATAGGCTTTAAATTGTTATTTATACTTTGAATAATGTTATTGATATTTTATTGAATAAACACTTTGAAAAAGATTTTATTAAATCATACTCATAACATTTCAATAAAAAAATAATCCTGTCAAATAGGTGATAATATGTACTGTTAATACATAATATGTACTGTTACATACAAACAAAATGAAAGTGGTGATACCTAAAGAACATTGTTATCATTGTATTCAATGTCAAACAACAACTGGTTGATTTTAATTTTTGCCAGCCTCTTCTTCTTATTTGGCATCCCTCTCAGAATGGGAAGCAGACTCCGGCAATATAACAAATCTTCATCATCTTCATTCTCTGCCATCTCTTTCTATGAAGCATCAGTGTCACTCAACTGCTTCAAGAGCATCAGCTCTGCTACATCCCTGTTCATGCGATTGCCACTTCTGTTTGCGGCAAACAATTCGGTGCATGGTGCTAGTCGTTTGTGGGAAAATCGTCAGTCAGAGTTATACTCTGACTAACCGTGGTTGTTGGAATAATACTTGGATCTCTTGTCGAGACATTTTTAAACCATCCTTCAAGTTCTTCAGTTGTCTTTGAAAAAAATCCACTAAAATATTAAAAATCTATTTTAATAGTAAGAAAATTTACAGTATTAAAAATACATACAATAATATACTTTTACTTTAATGCCATTAGTATATCTATAGTATATTGGATACTCACGCGATTCAGATATTCATGAACGCATTATATGAAATTCATACATGATAAAACTAGAAACAAAACTTGGCTTAGTTAGCTATTCGATGCATTATGATAAAACTAGAAAACAAATATTTACCTTTATTATTATGTTCTAGACTTCAGCCTGTTTGCAAAGTCAGTCAATTGAAAGTCGTCGACATTTGAATGTGTATCTTGCAAAGTTCATTCTCCTTTTCAAAATGTTATGGACATAGTGCTCCAAATATTTACACAATATTACAATAATGGCTGCCTATATTGTTGGTTGCAATGAGGAGGCGTGGCTTCATGAACGGAAACGGAAGCGCATATTGATTAAATACATTAATGATTAATTCTTACCGTCTCTGTCAAAAATTTCAGACAGTTTCTTCCAGGCATTCGCTTTGACAGTACGGTCTTTGTATAAAGACGAGCCTGTGTCCCAAAGACAACTTAGTTGTCTCACTTCTTCGATGAAGAACTCTTTGTCAAATTCGACGCTAGTACTCTCAGTTGCCTCGACCGTATTCTGCTATCAATTGCGGAAATATTGTCTGCCGACAAATTTGCTAACAAATTTCCGTCTTCCATATTGTAAAAAAAAACATTTGTGCTTAGAAAATATTACTTCGCAGTTCGCGCAAGCTGATTGGTCAATTTTTACATCGCTCGCTTTTCGCCGCGAAAAAGTGGAACATGATCCTACTTTTTCGACGGCAGCAGAGCGATTATTTTCGCCGAGAAAATTCGTCATTGATTGCAATGCGCATGCTCACGGCGACAAAAATCGCGTCGCGCGAAAAAATTCGCCTAGTGGAAAACGGCCTTTAAGCCCGTTCTCCATAGGCGATTTTTTTCGCGCGACGCGAAGCGGAAAGCAATTCTTGGCAATGTGATTGGTCAGCAAAAAAAAATCGCCGCGATAAAGTTGGATCAGTTCCTACTTTTTACTGTTCGCGCGAACAAATTCGCCTAGTGGAGAACGGGCTTTATAGTCAATATAAAAATGACATGTTTAGATGTTCTGTACTATGTGTAGGGTGCAAATTAGGTACATGTCTCATCTTTGTTGGACATACTCGCAGTAATGTACTAATTCACAGCACTTGACTGCTTTTGTTTATAGTTTCAAACATGAATCAAACTTCGAGTGTTGATTTCTTGATCTTAAAAGAAAACTTGCTTCAAATGTGGCTTCCAGTCAAAGGTGCGCAGACCGTCCCTGAATTTTGCAGATTGAATTGGGAAAAAATCGCAGTCTACATGTTTCAGATGAACATCATCCCTTTTACGTTCAAGAATAATCGGGGAGAGGAATTTTGTAAACGTCAAGTTTTCAAAACAAGTTTTGAGAATTATTTTGATGCTCAGCCACCATTTCAACTCGGTGAAGCAATACTCTCGGGAAGTTTCAGTGAGGGCCTTTTTCTTTATAGTTCAGAAACACCAGATATGGACGTCATGTGTGTGTTAAAGAATATCACGTTTTCAGAAGGAGATCAGGAAGATGGCAATTTGCAGTTAAGAGAAGATACGCCTTTTGTTTACGCATTTGTCACAAACAATGAAACACAACATCTGTGGGCATGTTTTTTTGACGAAGCAGATAAACAAACAGGAAAATATCGATTATCTTCGAAAAAATTGAAGGAAAAGCTTGGTGAAAACTACCAAAAAACAGGCAGAATTTTCCGTAGTGACTGCAATGAAAAGATCGACGAGTTTTCGGAAGGTGCGGCTGTGACAATCCGTAAGATAAAACCTTCTAATTCTATATCGTTTTTCCAGAGTTCTTCAGAAATCGCAAAGGAAGTCTTAAGGCATCCAAAACATAAACGCTGTAAGATTAAAAAAGAGTTATCAGAGCAGATGAGAGTTGACGCATTATACAAAATAATTCCCTCGTGTGACATAGTTTTGTCTATTTACTGCGAGGGATGGCCATTATGTGCCCTAGAATGGATTACGCGAGAACGACTTTGGCCAGATGTATCTTTGGTGGAGGAAATAACACAAAGAGGATTTCACATTATCCCAAAGAGCTCAGCCGATGGAGATTTTCGTTTGTCTTTTTCTTGTGCTGAAACCATGTTGATTAAAACTCTCGCACCACTACAGCACAAAGTAATGAGAGCTTTCAAAGCTGTAGCGAAATATTCTCAAAATGCCTGGAATCCAAATCTGAATGAGATTATAACAACATATCATTTGAAAACCATCGCGTTTTGGCATTTTGAGAAAACCTCGCCAGAATCTTGGATTGAAGACAGTTTAGTTCACCATCTTGTCACACTACTTGAAGAGTTGGCAGAAGCTTTGAGAATTCAAAGTCTTCCAATGTATTTTATGCCTATGGTTAACCTCTTACAAGATGTTGATGATCCTGAAGTCACAATTAACTTAATGGAAAAGATTTCCTCACTTTCACACAATTACTCTGCGATGTCTGAAGCTGTAAACAACTTTAAAAGGAATTTTTTTCAGTCATTATGAACACGACAACCTTGCTAACATGTTTCATAGCATACGTGAAGAAAACTTGGAAGGAAGGTGGGGAATGTTTATTAACCTGGTACGATTGGCTTGTCGCTACTTGCAGCCCTGCATGATATTTGCAAAGCACCATTTATCGCTTACTTTCAAAATGGCATATGTTAAGAAATGCCTCCTATTATATTTCTGATATTGCCACTGGTCGGTTCTAGGAGGTCAAGAATATCATTATATTCATAGTAGGTTTTGGTGCAAGATCCGAGATTTACCTAATGTCGGCAGCTCTGGGTTAGCTTTTTAATATGTCATACACTGTAAATTAAAAAGGGCTGAAACGACCCCAAAAATGGGGCGAAAACGGTGACCGCAAAATAGATCTTTTTGGGGGGTCAAAATGGCACCTATAACAATGCGGCCCCTAAGGGGTGATTTGGCCCTTGTAGTGTAATGGCTGTTTCAGATTTTTGTAGGAGCTGTTTTGGTAAGAGCAGGGGCTGTTTCAACTTTTAATAGGGGATAATTCAGAAAAATAGGGGGCTATCTTGACATTTCGAGGAGTTAATTTGGCTCCCATTTGTGGTCATAATGAACCCAAAAAAGCGTCGATTTGGCTCGCTAAACGGAGCTGTTTCGGCTACTGAGTTACAGAGTAATGAGTTTTCATCATTTCAAAATATTATTGCTATCACTAAATTTCTAAGCATCATAAATCTTAGCTTTGATTTTAGAGTTGGTGGCATATGTTTATTTATGTCTGTAGTTATGTATATTTTATTAGTATTGTCTGTTGTATCTTTAATCGGAGGAGTGCCTCGCATGGGACCTCGAGTCCCGTTCGCACTCTTACCGTTTGGTCACTATCCAATAAAGTATTTAAAACATCAAAACATCAGAGTAGTTTCAGCCCCAATGAAGAGCTGCTTTAGAACCGAAGGAGCTGATATAGCTTTTCTAATGATGTAGTTTTTTAGCACCCAAAGGGTCAATATGGTTCTATTCCTGAGCCATTATAGACCACAAGAAAAGTCAATGTAACCCCTACTTTTTTAACCAGAGCGATTTTGGCCCTCTCAGAAGAGCGAAGTTTCAGCCCCAAAGAAGAGCTGCTTTAGAGCCAAAGGAGCTAATATAGCTTTTTTCATGGTGTAGTTTGTAGCACCCAAAGGGTCCATTTGGTTCAATTTCAGAGCCATTATAGACCCAAAAGAAAAGCCAATTTAACCCCTACTTTGTTAACCGGAGCTGTACTGGCCCTTTCAGAGTAGAGCAGTCTCAGCCACAATGAAAAGGTGCTTTAGAACCGATTGAGCTGATATAGCTTTTTGGTGGTGCCGTTTTATATAACATTTAAAGTCATGTGGATTTGGTTGCACTCTTGCATGCAGACGTATTCTACATGTATATAATGAATCAGGCAAAAATATTGGGGTTTATTTGGTCTTGATTAAATTATTACAATTTCTCCAACAGACCAAGATTGGAATGAATTATCGTGATATAAGTTGAATTAAATAATGTTCCAATTTCCTTATTATAAACACAATACTACAGTACAACTAAAATTACAATATACATGCACAGTATTATGGATCTCGCCGAAATGTGGGAACCATCAAAAGATTCGTACATATATGCCATAAGGCTCCGAAAGTTTACAATTCTAATTTTAAAGAGCCAATGAACTTGTTATAGCAATAGCAGGCGCGGTTGTTAAACATGAACGCAATACGAACAATTTCTAAGACATTACCACAGTTCGGTGAGATGTGAGACAACACACACATTCCATCAATAACATTAACTTGGGTTAGCATATGTCAACATAACTCTCAAAGAAGTGTAAAATTACTGTAGTACTAATATTCATGAGTCATGACAAGTCATTGAAGGGGTTGTAACCCTTATTGGCAGTTGTATGCCATTTTTTGTGTTGCCCATGCAGTACTATAGTCTCCAAGGAAGACAAGACGCTCTTCGCGTGGCAGTACTCAATATTGAAGATGCAAGAACTTGCCAATAAGGAACTTTCATCCTTTCCTTCGATAACGTACGATTGACAGTTTCTAGTCGTATTCTAGTTCGCTGCCAAAGGTCACAATATGGGTTGTGATAAGTTTGGAATTGTATCATTTGCATCTTCGGACTCCTACAAAAATACAATTAGAATGTATACAATAATCCGCAATTACAGATGGTTATAGGACACATACTGTAAGATATAAGGCCTCATGAAGAGAGATAAAACCAATAATAAAGCTCTTACATCGAAGCAAATCCCAACGGCGCCAAATTAAAAGCTAGCACGCATGCTCGAGGATGATCGCAAACCCAATTGCTTACGGGCGCGTGTATTCTTGTTTCCAGTTTCCAGTTACACGTTCAATTCTCGTGATTAATTTTTACAAATACCACATTTATATTTATGATAAAATTACTAAAAATCTGGAAAACAAATTTCAATACCCTACAAAATGAAACATCAAATCTCACCTTGTATAATCCAAAAAACATCCTCTTCTTTTTCTTTGCGAGCATGTGCATTCTTTAAGTTTTATGCGGAAGTTAAATTTGATACGATCATACGACGGACGATCGACACATTTAAGAGTCGATTTGACAGAATTAAGACTGTCGATTTGACGGAAGGGTAGATTTGACACAATATTAATAGTCGATTTGACACAATTAAGAGTCGATTTGACAGAAGAGCCCATTTGACACATTTATGAGTCGATTTGACACATTTAAGAATTGATTAGACAGAAAGATCGCTTTGACACAATTAAGAGTCGATTTGACAGGAGGGTCGTTTCGACAAAATTGTCGATTTCATTCCAGGGTTGATTTGACCAATGCGAGAGTCGTTCCGCGATGGAGAGACAAAACGAAGCTCGTAGGGGCCAATGTGTTGATCAAAAGCGGCCCCTTTATGTGCCAAAACAAACCCGTACGTGAGAGTCGTTTTGGTCTGTGGGGACATATTGGCAATTGATGGGGCTAAATTGGAAAATGATGGGTCCGTTACGGCAAATGGTAGGGCCAATTTGGCTTTCCTCCATACCTAAAATGGTTCCGTGGATGCCTATCCAGCTCTCCAATACCAAAATGGCTTTCGCCTAGGGCCAAAACAGCTTTGGCCCTAAAAGAGCTGAAACGGAATTTTGGGGTCGTTTTGGCTCTTTTTAATTTACAGTGTACATACGGGATATGCTCATATAGCTACAGTATCTTAGGTATAGGATTCATTAAATTTAATAGTTGATGTACTGGGTTAGGTACATAAAGTCTTAATTTTTGCACCAAATAAAATTGTAGAGTCGAGTTCAAGGGTCTTATATATTATAGCTTGATTATCAACCAGTGTTTACGCTCATTCGGTTCAACCAGATAATTGTAGTATACAGAGCGCTGCCCAGGAGCTGCATGCCCGAAACAAGTGCACCAAAATTGCAACGACAGTAGAATGGCTGTAGCACCCGTTTCTCACCCCCACTTATAGCTGTTATATCCCACTCTGCGAACGCCGCCCCCCTGTAAATCAGAAAATCGGTTACACGAAAATACCCGACTCAACCAACATTTTTTATCACATGACCTCACACGCTAATACCCCACTTGCTTGACAAAAAAAAACTACCCAACTTGGCTAAACAAAAAATGATTACATAAGGGGTTCCCGCATAGATATCTTATATACACTAGATAGCGCATCTCTTTTAGTAAAATTGAAGTCAAGAATATTCCAGCGGTTACCCCCATTTGAATAGATGGCGGCCATAAACGCTTAAAAAACAACAATAACTTTCATCATTTGAATAGTTTAAAAATGTATTTGGAATAGGTTTAACTTAATGTTTAAGTTCCCTGTTCAACACATAGAAAACATACAAATCTTCTCATTTCAAAGGAATGTCCTGAGTCTGCAATCACGGCTTCAATTTTTAAATTGCAGAATAATTAGATGCACTACCTAGTGTAATAAGATATCAATGGGTTCCCGCCTATGCCGGAAAACAAAAAATGACGATTACATCGTCGTGTCGAAAATGTCATCATCTTATGGTTCCGGTGTTTGCGAGTGGTTACACACACACACTAATTTGGGTTCCAGAAAAACATGTTTTAATGTAGTAGTATGGAAATCAAATGTGGAAACCGATGTGTGGTTTAGTCGAACTCAACTACAAGTCTGTTTACTATGTTGGCTCTCTTGTTGGTGTTTTCGTCCTTAAAACGGTTTTTGGTTTTTACACTTTTGCCTTTTATAACCGTGTCTATCACAAACATTCCCGGTTCTTCCTTTATTTTTATCTTTCTTTCAAGCCAAAATCTTAGTTTAATTTCGTTTCCCTTTTCGATGTATACGCCGTGTACGACCTTGCGCCTTCTTCGTGGGCTCTCGCTCTTGTTAATTAGCCTCTCACCAAACTTCCTGGAATACTCGTCGATGTAGGAGTCGTCCACCTTCTCGAGTTCCTTTTGGGAATTACAAGGACAGCTGACAATTAGTTTTATTAATGGCCTGTTACAGGCGTTTGCAAACAACGGACTACTTTTGCCCGACAAATGCCCTTTCAATCTCGTTTCTAGTTTATTACATGTGCTACCAACATAAACCAACCCACCCTTCTCAAATATTATTTTGTATATTTTACCTTCCTTAAATACACTGTTTTGTTTAGCATTTACCAATTCGAATGTTGTTTGCTTGTTTGTTGGCAGTGTACTCACATAACAACCTTCTCTTTTCCAGACGAATGTGTTCAAATTTAATGGTTCTTGACAATGCTGTGTAGAGTTGTCCATTTTGTCTGTGTCGAATATGTTGAAGTTTACGTTTATCTTTCCACCTTGGTACTTGTGAACGGTATCACAAAAAGCTGAAATGAAACATTGTGAAAACTCACCTTCTTTATACACATGTCCCACTACTTCAAACGAACAGTCCCCCCCCCCCACCCACTGTGTCCACAATGTTCTTTATTTTTAATTCCACAGTCTTGAATGCCCCTTTTCTTAATTGAATGGGCATCCCCACTGCAATCACTTCTTCACTTTCACCGTTGTACGAGAACCTATAACCACTATTAACCCTTTCCCGTTTGTGTTCCTTAATAAATCTTTCACCACATGTTTAGTTGACGGCCCTTCTTGTTTTGTTGTAGTAACAAATGTTATTGTAACTTTCACATGGTGATTTAATAAAACTCGTCATCCGTTTTTCCGTTTTTAAGAAACATGTTTAGTATCCTAAGGGTTTTGTTATCATATCTTCCACACCCCTCAACATGCTTTAGTTTGTCACATTTCCATTACTGCAACACTTCTCAGGTTGTCATATGATTGCCTCCTCTCCTCAGCGGGGTCGCATTGGTTGGGATCCCGAAACATATGTATGGAAAAACAGTGTTTGACCCGCAATTTATAAAGTTTAGTGATGAGTTCGTTCGGAACCATACTAAGCTTGTCCACAAGCACTAGCCTTCCCAAGATGTCTGTTGTATTTCGATTCCACTCAGAAAAGTACGAGTCGAAGGTTCAGCATATATTGTTAACACGGTCTTCAGTGAAGCACCCCTAATTTTTCATTATTTTCCTTATATTTTCTGTGGCCTCGGTAGGCCTTGCAAACACAAGATTTAACCGGAAGTTGTAAATGACTACATATCACATTTCAAACACCCCTCCCCGAAAACCTCCAGGTGCTCTAATTCTTAGGGTTCACGTCACCAGAGGGAACTAGGTCTAGGGTCTTTGCTGTAGCGCCGCTGGCTTGCGAGGTTGACTTTGAAATATATATTCTAAACCTGAACACCGATACTCTTCTGACATTTTCTGTAAAAATATCCAAATTTAATCAGACAAGAAAATTTTGCTGAAACCTGAAGTACAAAATCACAAAAAAAATGAAGAAAAGAGCGGGAATATAATTATTCCGATGGGGAAATTGAACTCCTGTAGATTATTAGGTGCTTATTGGACAAATTTCTAACTACAGTACTGCTCAGAAATAACCTAACACTGCGTTCGCGTTCCGAACGCGTTCCAAACGCGATCGGAACGCGGTTGGAACGCGGTCGGAACACGGTTGGAACGCGGTTGGAACGCGTTCCAGAGGAAACTTGGAAACGCGTTCCTCACTTTGGCTAAAAACCGCGTTCTCGCATCGGAAAATCTCGACACCGAATGAAATATGAGCTACTGTAGGTTTTGACAGTTGACAACTATGAACAATTAATATAAAGCTTCATCCCGGGCTGAAATACCAGCCCGGTTTGATCCAGACTGAATGTCGACACAGTCCGGGCTGTAATCACAAATAATTTTAAAAAATCGTCTTAACGGCTTTGTTCAGCGTGTTTGTTTCAACTGTATATGTAACCATAAACACACAAATCAAATAGCCGAAAATGCTTCAAATCGCGATCGTGTCAACCCGAGCTAGAAAGGTCTGTGTTGTGCACATGCTACATTTCAGCAATTTAACAACATGGGATGAAAATGGTTCCGACTAAAACTCAGCCGGCTGAAACTGCTCACGAGCAATCAAATAGATGGCTATCTATCGTGCTGAAGCAAGCGTATCATGTAGCATACTTGCTCAGTTTATTTTAAAATGTCGCCGCTTGTGTAATTTGTTTTACGCATAACTAAGTCATTACACATGATTATAAAGTATAAACATTTACAATTAGTCAAAATACTAGTGACTGTGACATTTTTGACCGCCCAACATCTCGGGTCGATTATATAATAAGTGCATGCTTGCAATATACATTTACTAACAATCGTACCAACTTATATGATGATGTTTCCTTACTGTCGCATGCATCAGTATCAGCAATAAACATCGCTTGCGTACTATTGTTGCATGAGTTAAGATTCAATTATCTGTATTTCTCGTCTACAAGATGGCTAAAATAAACTGGACGAACTCCTTACCTTGTGCTTTTTCCGGTATTAGTTTATCCATTTAAAACTCCTCCTGTGAGAGTCTGATGATGATTTTTGTAAAGTCCAAACACTGTGATATTTTGGCTACCTCTTTCGAAAATGAAATTCAATAGCCTATTCAACACACGCGTCAGTGAATAATTTTTGACAATAATTTCCATAATTTTAGACAATACTGTTACAGTCATTAAAATTCCTTCAAAACTGTTTTTATTTATTTTGATGCCCTTTAGAGTTTTGTGAAAAGTGCGAGCATTTTCTACATGGTCATCAGAAACCTGATGGCGATCAGAGGAAATTAGCTAGATTGTGTTCTTAGTTTGTCCCGAAGTATTGACTACGCACATACATGTATGTGATGTGAACATCATAGGTTATTTTGATTCGCGACTCGTTAGTGGAAGGCAAATATAAAAACGCGGTTTCATGCTTTATAGGGTGAAAACAAAATGTGCAAGTGAAGCTGACTAATAGTCGGGAAATCGCGATGATTTCCGACGATGTCCGGTTTCGATACGAGTGTAACCGGAACGCGTTCCATAGATGCATTCAGGTAACAGTGGAATGCAAATGGAACGCAAATGGAACGCAAATGGAACGCAATTGGAACGCGAATGGAACGCGAATGGAACGCAAATGGAACGCAAATGGAACGCAAATGGAACGCATTTAGGAACGCGTTAGTAGTAATATACAGGCCGTTCGACCCGGATTTTGAGGGGGAGGAGTGAGGAGGAGGAGTGAGGAGTGAAGAGGAGGAGTGAGGAGAAATGTGGAGGAGGAGTGAGGAGGGGGAGTGAGGAGGAGGAGTGAAGAGGAGTGAGGAGAAATGTGGGGGAGGAGTGAGGAGGAGTAATGACGTCACTCATTATCATACGTCATAATTATATGCAATGACGTCACGCGGGCGAGCTTAAACACGATCGGGCGAAACTTGCTGACTACACATTTTTTAGCGTCCCTCCTCGTGTGTGATACAATAGAGGGATTAATCTTGGCTTACTATGAATAGTTGGTGTCCCTCGCATGGCAAAATTGTTTATCGAAATTAATATATAGCAGAGTTATAGCCGTATCTTAGCTCGGAAGAGATAAATTTCCACATGTATATTGAAGGATTTTCGTATGTTCCATAGCGAGGAATCTATTGGTCACAAAAATCAAGACATATATATTTTAAACTAAACAGTAGCAATCCTTCTACATACATATATACTGTTAAGATGATCATAAGAAAGCTTATCAAGAGTAGAAGGTAGAATTAGAACAGTTGTAATATTTTTTGACACTATCGTCTGTTATTTGTATCAATAAACATGTTTTAAACTTTGCAAATTTGCGTTGTTATGCGCAGGGGCGTAGGAAGCGGGGGGGGGGGGG